GTTAATTTGCTAGGAGCAGAAAAGCAGGCTAAAATAATAAATTGTGATAAATAAAAAAGTAAATAAAACAAGGTTTTGTGGGAGTTTATTGATTGTTGAGAATTTGAAGGGCAAAAATTTCTATATAAGGTTTTCTTTATGCTCGCAAATAAGAAAGTGTTTTTTTAATAAACTAAGATTTAAACTCTCTCAATCGCCCTCTTTTTCATAAATATACTGGTTGCTTCTATTTATTTTTCAATTCGGATATTTTTCAATCACTATTCCGCCAATTATCTCAAAATTATACTTTTGTTGTTTTTCCTTAATTCAATTTTGAAGTGCATTACTTTTATCTGCCGTTTCTTGACTTTTTGCCGTAATGCCGCTTTTTGCATCTAACAAATAGACCTTGCTTTTTGTTCTGACAATAAAATCAGGATAGAAAAGTCTGCTTTTATTTTCTTGTGTGTCAAAATATTCAATGGCAAAAGCACTTCTTCCGTAACCTTGTTTATGTCATCAAATTACATTTGGTTGTGATTCCAAGAATCTTATAAATTTCTTTTCATTACCATAGCAATTTCTTGTTTTAGTAATTTATATTATTTCCGTTTTCTTTTCTTTTTCCTGTATTTTATTTCAATTATCTTTCTTATCAAAGCAAAGGTGAAAGGGCTTAATAATGCGGTAGCAATGATTAACATAAGCACTACAACAAAAGGCACTTTCCCCACATGTTCTTTATTTTTACTTAATGTTATGATGGCTAACGTAGATCACATGATAAATGGGAGAAAAGAATTCTCGAATCATCTCATCGCTTCTCATGCTCTTCTCTTTAACTTGGCTATCTTTAATCATTTCTCATAGCAAGGTTGGCATTTTATCAATTTCTCAGAACTTTCAGTGCCTCAATTTTCGTAGACCTCATGAATTATTTCATTTTTGCAAATTAATTTGAAACATTCATGGCACCTTTCAATAACTTCTTTCTCTGCTAAATTATCCAAAGCACATTTTTTGCAAATTGTTGAACCCTTAATTTGTATTTCTTCACCTTGCGAAATTTTTTGATAACATTTGCTACATAACATAAATTTGATTTGTTTTTAAACTCTTTGCTTTCGTGATATATTACTGCGTGCGAAATTATTTTCCGCTTTTTGTTTTTAACTGAATTACGCAGTAATTTAACTTTACTAGAAAAGCGGACATTTAATTTGCACATTGTAATAGTATAGTTTTAGGTAAAATCTAATAATATAAATGCTAAACACACTAGAAACATTAACCCAACTCCTAAAAAAAGACCAAAGACTAATAATAGATGGCAATCTTGCCAAAAATAAAATTATTGAATTAGCCCTGAAATTCGACAAAGAACTTTTAAAACTCTTGCTCTCTTCTCCCGAAATTAAAAAAATATTTTTCCAAGAAGTAGAAGGAATATTAGTTTTTGACAAAATAAAATTTCAAAGTTTCGTTTCTAACAAACAATTTCTCCCTGATAGTTTTACTAAATACAAAAACAAAATGGGATTAACCGCTAACGGACAATATCTCGCTGACAGCAAAGAAGTAGTTTTGGCATGACCTTATAAAGACTGTATTTTGGAAGGAGGACAGACCAAACAGGATGCCAAAAGACAGGAAATATTTTGAAATGAAACTTTGGTACCGGACGAAATTGACCGCCTACTGACACCCAAAGTTTTCACTAATTTTCAGAAATATGATAAAGGAAAAGAAACTGCTCTCTCTCTCTCTCTCTCTCTGATAACTTAATTATCAAAGGCAATAATCTCCTTTCTCTTTATTCTCTAAAAGAAAAATATCAAGGCAAAATCAAATTAATTTATATTGACCCACCTTATAATCCGGATAGTAAATCGAATACTTTTGTTTACAATAATGGTTTTAATGAATCTACTTGATTAACTTTTATGAAAAATAGGTTGGAAGTAGCCAAAAAATTATTAACTCCTGATGGCTGCCTAATTGTGGCAATTGACAAAAACGAACAAGCCGAATTAACTGTTTTGTCGAAAGAAATATTTCGCGGTTATGAAATCCATGTTATGACTATCGTTCATAATCCAAGAGGAGCCCAAGGTGCTAATTTTTCTTATACTCATGAATACGCTATTTTTGTTATTCCCGAAGGCAAAAAATCAATTGGTATAAGAAAAGCTGATACTTACTGAATGAACCTGCGTAATGTAGGTGGAGAAAGTTTGAGAACGGACGCTAAAAATTGTTTTTATCCTATTATTGTTGAAAATGAAAAAGTAATCGGTTTTGGAGAAGTAGTTGCTGACGATTATCATCCGGAAAAGCAGACGACCGAGAAAGAAGGTCAATTTTATGTTTGGCCTATCGATAAGGACAAAGTTGAAAGAAAATGGCGTTATGCTCGCCAAAGTGTAGAAAAAATTAAGGAACTTTTGCGGGTGAAAAAAA